TTCCAATCTTCATTCGGTAAAAGGCCATCAAGAAAATCAAGAAAACTATAATGCACCAGCAACTCAAGCACACAGATTATCTACACATGATATTACTCATTTAAGCACACTCAAAAGTGATTTATCTTGAGCAATCGCGGGGGTGTAAGAAGGCTATACGAAGTTCTCCTTGAGCCCCGAGCAGGACTAAAGGGACTACACGAGCCATACGCGAAACCACCACAAGAATGATTAGTCTCTTCACCTCTATCCATTTCAGCTAAAACTTTCCAGAAAAGATCGACATCACATGGAAGCATTAAAGGGCCTTCACTATTGAATCCGTATTCCACTTCAGCATCCTCAAGCAACATTTTGAACGAAGGGTGATTCGCGTACTCAATCTTGATCACGAACCTTTGTTTTTCCGGTCCAACATACACGAAGAAACAACCATTTGGAGCCACTTGGTGCTTCGCTTTGAGCCTTTTCTCGTCTTTGGATGAAGCTGAAGCCTTAGCTTTGCTGCAGTCCCACGATGTACTCTTGGAAAACTTAATATTCGTCGAAGATTTTGCCTGTCTATTCATAGACAGATAACTCTCTAATTTCTTGAGTACAGATTTTTTCTTCTCCTTCCCCCTTACAACATCCATATTTTCTTCCATGGACAAGCAAAAAATAAAAAATTAAAAAACCCCTCAAAATAATGAAACAAGCTCTATAGTTTCAACCTCTATCATAAGCCAAATTGAACATGGATCTCATTCTTGGCTTTGTTGCATTGTTCATGTTTTAAAAACTGAACCACCGCCTCTTAAGCCCCTCGACTGATTTAGTTGAAAAGCAAGATTCTTGAATTCAATTCAGAGAAATATATGTTATATATATAAGCAAATAATACATGCAAATGTATAAACAGAGAAGATAAAACTCTACAAGTTATATGCTTGGGACCTTAAGTTTACAACTGGGCAGGTAACACCTACATAGTCCCATACCATATGGACACTAGTAATAATGAGTTTATTTGTCAACGCAAAATGAGCCATCAAAGGAACAAAATAAATAATTATTTGGTAACTCATAAGTGGCCACTATGAAAAAAACTAGGTCAAATATGGTGAATACAACCCCTCTAGTGGAGTGCTCAAACAGCTAACAATTAATAAATTATTAAATTTGCAGTTTTTTATTTTGTAAGACCAAATCTCTTTCTTTTAAATGAAATTTAAGTGCAAATTGAGTACGAACATAATTAATTTTATGTGAATTAAGATATATATCTAACAAATATATTTTGTAAGATCAATTCTCTTTCTTTAAATGGAATTTACGTGCAAATTGAAGAGTAATATTCTGTCAAAAAATAAAATAAAATAAAATTGAGGAGTAATATGATGTATTAGATGTAACTTCATATTTGCAATATATAATATTCTTACGACAACTGGAAGTAGTTGTAGTTATTTGGTAAAGCTATAAACTTGCTAAATAAGTTCTTTTGTCAATTGATGTCAAAAATAAAGTCGTTTTGATCCTTTAGAATACTTCGATAAATCATTTTCAAAGATCCTAACGGTGTCTTTTTCAGGATCAACATCAACAATTAAGTTTATCTATAATAAACTTAATCTAAATTATAGAGTTATGACACAATCAAAATCGAACGGAAAAATCAAGTAACCCTACAAATTTTACCACGTACAAAAGTGGGTTCTTTGGAAATTACGAGGCAGTGGAGTGCAATGGTGGGCTAATGATCATGTGTGCAAAGGATTCATTATCCAATATATTTTTCAGCATGTGATAATTACGATTAAAAGTCTAAAAACAATGTATTATAGTTAATGAGCCTACATGCTTTGACAATTTTTATCTTTCTCAATCAATTGGCGTTCTAAATAAACTTATAAAATAAATATTTACAAGTATTTTTAACCAGAATTCAACCGTGTTGAAATTGCAATCTTGTGGATTCTATTTTAAGGACAAAAGATGTCCACTTCCTCAGAATTAGACGCCGTGGAGAAATTGCATTGTTGATAAGAATATTCAATATTAGTAAACTCATGATAATTAATAATATTTTTTCATATATCATTAATGTCTAAACAAATATTGATTAGCGCGTATTTAATATTCATGAACAAGAAAGTAAACAAATATGTAAAGACGTATAATAAACATTATTGGTAAACTTATTTAGTCTTATTTGTTATCCGTATTTAATACGCTAGATTAGACAAAAGGATTGACAATTTCATTTTGGATTAATCTATTTGTATCAAATAGTTTACCTAATGTTTTACCGAATTGACAAGTG